TTTGTTGTTATTAATATTGTTATAGTTGTTAGTATATGAAAAAGGATCGGGATTTCAATAAAGATAAAGAGATTCTAACAAACTTTTAATTCATTATTAGGATTTTTTGTCCAACCACGTACAGTATTTCGGAAAAGTTGAAATGAAGATTCATCAATAAATATTGTATGTGTAAAATCATCATCTTTATAATCTTTAATCCACTAAATACATCGTTTTGTTTTGATTAGCTGTAAACATTTGAGTAGTATGTGGTAAGATATTTCTATAACCATATTCGTGAAGATGACGACTTATTGTTGATGTTGATACTGATTTTTGGCACTTTTTCGATAAATTTTCTTGTATTTCTTTATCAGAAAGGAAAGAAAATCACGCTTTTATATGCTCAATGTATAGTATATCTATCGATGATTCATCGGTAGAAAAATGAACTGTCTAATTGCTTGTAACGACTAAAAAAACGTTTAAAAGAAATATTGAATTTTATACAAGTTTTTTTGCAAACACCTATATATATTGTTCATGATTATTGCAGATATTTTACGTTGTTCTAAAGAAGGCAATCAAGAAGTATGTATATTTTTGATGCGCAAATTTTATTAAAATTGAAAATTATTGAAAATACAGAAAAAATGAAGATAAAAATTGTTGAGAATACGAGAGAAAAAACTAACTAATCAAGAATATGAAAGGAGAAAACTAACTACTGAGCAATGTTCAATGTTAAAGATAAAATTGTATAGAAATGCTTGATCATTGATGCTGATGAGCGTTTGTGTCATGTTTTCTATAAAGAAAAATTAGTGATCTATTCCAGTGTCATAAAGTACCCGACATGACAATCACAAAGAAAAATGTACGACTGATGCAATAAAATATAAGCAACATTCTCTCGATGTATTATCATTAAAACAACATATTGATACAACATACCTGCTTTATGGCTGAAGACATTATTCAAATATTCTTCTTAGCTCAAGACAATTATAAACAATTTGTAGCCATGAACAGAGGTCACAAGCTCAATGAATAATTCTGAGCAAACATTCTTTCAAATATTTTGCTCAATTCAAACCAAAGATTTGGAGTTCATTACATCAACCATGAACACGCGACAAATGAATAATTCTCAGGAAAGAACCTTTCCAATATTTTGCTCGATTCAAATCAATAATTTCGAGTTGATTACATGAATTATGAACAGACGACGAATGAATAATTCTCCAAAAGATTCTTTCAAATATTTTGCTCAATTCAAAGGAAAGATTTGGTGTCGATTACATCAACTATGAACACACGACAAATGACTAACTCACAGTAAAGATTCTTTCAAATATTTTGCTCAATTCAAAGGAAAGATTTGGAG